CCCGGAGGCAAAAGTTATACAGAGCACCGAGTTTCCCGGAGCCAGCAAGAACAAAGAAGTTGTCTGCTTCAGCTCCTCCACGCAGAGGCTCTCCATTTTGGCTTGAAGGAGCGGCGATCCATACATGGTTCAGAGACAAAAGTGCTTCACCCACCTGCCCAAGCCTGAAAGCATTCAAAAATAAAAGACGCAAAGCAACAAGAAGCGGAACCCCGACTAAACGACCCACAATATTTCTGTGCCTTGCCAACATTGCCTCAGCGGACCCAACCAAGTGCCTGCATCTTGACTCCAGGGCCTACCGCTTCCAGCACGAGGACGGGGGCCTCCATACTGTCCAGGAGATGGGGAACTTCTGCGTTGGGGGATTCTCTGGGAGATGTGGGGAGATGTGGGGAGATTCTGTTGAGGACTGGGTGACTGGGTTTCTGACTGAGCTGCGATGTGTTTGATGTTCAGAGGGGCTCTCGGATGCGGCGCTGTGGGATTTCCTCTGCATGCTTCGGAGAGCAGACAACCGCTCAGCCAAGCGCCTCTTTCCGGCTGGAGGAAGGACCTCCCGCAGCGTGAGGTGAACTGTTATCCAGCATTACAGCATATGGGCGAATCTATTCGACTAATGCAATACACGTACACAGTCTTTGTGTTCAAGACGCTCCGAAGTACATGAGCCAAAGCTTCGTTCTCCATAGTTATGCCAACAATCCACTGGGGCAAAAGTGAAAGCACCAAACGCCTGTGTGGCTTGGCCGCATCAGCAGCTCAGGCGCCTCCGGCGCATGGCGGCAAGGGCCTTTGAGACACATGAGTTGGGCGAGGCTGATAAGGTCCATGGGCAACAAACCTGTCTCAGTAGCGCTGACGCCTCTTTGAGGTTTGGGGCTTCTGGTCTCGGCGAAGCAAATCGTTAGGTTCAAATTTTGGATGTCTGACCGGCTCTTTTGTGTTCGCACCTCTCGTGCCCCAAAAAAGGAATACTTCATGAATTTGAAGCTGCCATGAGCCTCACTTGTGAACGCCAGGCCGAGCACACTAAACCCGAAAACCCGAAAATACCCGAAAATCAAATTCAAACTGCTAAAGGCACCACACACTGGAGGGCGGGGGTGGGGTAGGGCGCGGGGGGAACGCACTTGGGCCAAAGCTGGCCGGCGGTCTTTGCGGCGAGCGTAGGCCTGGGAACATACCGGGCTTGTGGCTTGGGAGTGAGCAGCAATCGACTTAACACTACCTGTGTAACCGCATGGTGCACATGGATGCGTCGTAAAAGCCTCACCACGACTGGATACCTTCAGCCGGGTCGAGCCAGAGAAATATGCACTCATCACCAATCGTGCTGTGGCTGCCCACTGCACTTGTGGATTCCGCATAGACCTCCCATTGAAAATCATACGTTCACCCACCCGAACACTAAAGAGAACGGTTGTAAAAGTGTTGTAAGCGACAAATACGACAACTCTCGCAAGCTCCAAGGAGCTTGCTTGCGTGATTGAGCAGCGCGTTGAGGGAAGTCAGGGCAACATATTGTCCACCCCGGAGCCGACCGAAGTTCGCCAGACGCCCCGGACATACCAGAAACCTCACCAATCTTCAACCGTTGCATGGCCGACCCGACCTCCTCATGTTGAAAGCCATTGCATTCATTCTGAGCTGCTTGAATCTGTGACTATGAAACCCCTGTAGCCCCTAAAGCCCCTTTGAAGCCCCTTGGACTCTGCAGCCGCATTGGCTTGTGGAGCGCTGCCGGGGCTGCGCCTTTGGAGGCTCAGAATCCGGAAGCTTTGCGAAGGTTCACGAAGGTTTCGGGCTTCGGGCCCAAACACACCCCCCGGAAACTTAGGATTTTTGGAACGAAGGTTGGGGCCGAGCCTTTGGGGCAGGACTATGCCGTGTAGGGACCACATGTCTTGAAACCTAACTTGAAATTCTAAACTCGCACTAGGCCGCAAACCCTCGTCTTATCAACGCCCTGCACATCTGTTGTCAACAGACCAAGCATTTAAAGGCAGCGTAACGTGGGCAACAGGCCTGTGCCAAGCAGGACCGCGAGAGGTCGAAGCAGAACTGGATGAACTCCACCTCCCGGCAGTTCCAGAGACTTAGACCTAAACGTCACGGGTTCGACGACTCTAAAATGATGAGGCAAAGGAAGTGCTTAGCCAAACTCGCAAACTTCTCGAAACGGTCCTGCAAGTCCTCGGTTGCGGGTGGCGTGGTGTATAAAACCAAACCACCCGAGCCCTTCCCATTGCAGCCGAAAGCCTAGTCTACTCTACAATCCTGAAACGAGGAACCCATAGCTATTAACTATGGAACAACACCCCGACAATCCCTCGATCCCTTTGGCCCTAAGTGCATCGAAACAAATCACACTAAGATGCCAAACCCCACATCATTCCCAAAAAGTCAAAAGCCCAAATGCCTCGCCGGCCGCCCTGGTGGTGGCGCTGGGCCCGAAGCGGGTCAACGTGACCTTAGCGTTCCAAGGCGGCAGGCAAGGCTTCGGAAGGTCTCGGTTGGTCAGAACAAGCCAACAAGCCAGGTGACTAGCCCAATCAGGAATTCTATCAGGCTCTAGGGTTCAAGGCTTAGTTCAGGCTTGGGGCAGCCAACCCTCAACCCATGCCCCTAATTTTTCCTGGGCGCTTCTGCAAGGCCAGCGTGTGTTTTAGAGGCAGGCGTGGCACTCAAGCTAAAGCGGGCTTTTAAGGCTCTTTCCAGAGAGCCTTGAGATAGTTTAGTTCAGGATGACTGCCAGCTGTGCTGCAAACTCGGCTGCCGACGTCACTGCTGTAACTGTATTGAGACGGGTACAAAGAATTATTTTGTTGATGAAGGGTCGAGTTTTTGGGGAGGGGCATTGGGTGAGAATTGAAGGTCAAGCCACATTCGTGGGATGAAGGGAATTGAATGTAAAGTGAAGCTTTTTGGGAGGAAGGGAGTTGGGGCATTGGGTGCGCACTGAGGTTGTTCAAAGCGTTTTGTGATGAAGGTGTCAAGCTTTCCCAGGAAATGTAAGTCCGAAAACCAGACGAACATGAGAGAAAAACCCCAAAAACCTGCAAAACAAAGAAAAAGCCGGGGAAGATGAAAATCGCGTCGAGCAACTACCGGCCTTCAAGTGGCTGAGGCTGCCGCCAAATCCCCGTGTTGCAGTCTCGCCTGCTCACCACGGCCCTGGCCAGAGAGGAGTTATGTCTACTACTCTTGTACAACTACCGGCAAAACATGTTGGACGGCTTGCCGGGCAGCCTCTCAGGGTTTCAACTGAGCCACGCTTGCCCGGTTTAGATTTCAGGAATCATTTTAGGAGAGGCCGACATCCTAAGTGCATAAGACCTTTATGGGTTAATTACAACTCCACATGCTTCTGCAAACACCATAAACTCGTATTTATAAGTCCCAGGTCCTTTAAACCCTGCGAGCCGTGTCCCTGTTGCAAGGGAGCCTGTAGGAGGCGATCATTCACGCGCGTGCCGTTGCCGCTGCAATTCCTTCCCACGCACAGCACAGGCTTTAGCAGGTTCGGAGGGTGGCGAATCTCGAGGGTTCAGGGAACTGAGGCTCTGTTCAGAGTTGTCGTCAAAAACTGTGGTTTGCATAGCATAGTCACAAAGTACCCATCGCGAATCAACATCCCAAAGCCCAATTCCAAATGGCAACCGAGCTTCATTAGAATGAAAGACAGCTCGTTGTCTGCACCTTAGCTTCCAGACTTTTGGATTAGCTAATCAATGTGTTGTTGCCCATCCCCGCTGTGACCCGGACGCTGCTGGTGTTTCTGCGCATTGTCTTGAAAGCCCCCAAGCTTGCGTCGTATGGAAGCTGGTGGGCCGCCCACGCCACATGTAGCCTCATAGGCACCTGAAGCTCGTAAGTGCCAGACCCAGCTTCAGATTTTGGAGGTCGCGCCCTCTTGAAGATGAGATCGCATTGCCCACGATCCAGATCTGCAATGGCCAGGGCCACAGACTTTTTGAGGCATCGGTTCTCACGTCTTGCATGTCACCTGGAACTGAGCAGTCCTCTCTCGTGCGCCATGGCTTCGAACTTAGGACCTTAGGACCTGCAGCTTCCACATTGCACGCAAGCTCATTTTGCCGTAGCACTGCCCAAGTCGATGGTTTGATCCGCGCACCCACGGCACGAGTCGGCACGAGCTTACAGGATTTCGCACATATCCACAAGACGTACACCTCCTAGCATCACACACAACACACAGAACACTGCTTGGCACAATGTTCAGTGCGTTCGACGGGGTCGCCGCGACTCAACCGTTTCAAAACTCATTCTCCAGCTCGTGATTCCCATTCCCTGACCGACCCGGATGTAAGCTTGGACCACCTCTGCTCAGCCTTTCAGGTGGCATTCTTCGGGCTTTTGCAGTGTTGAAGGAGCCTATATATCTCATGCCAGGATGGGATGAACGGCTCGATTTCTCACTGTACATGAATCAGGAGAACTCCAACTTTCGATGCAATTGGAAACTCGCCACGAAGGGACAAGCACAGCCACAATGAAATCAATGGTGAAACAGTGTCGCAATTGAAAGGCACAGCGCCCAACATCCCAAGACTCCAACTTCTCCTGAAAGTGCCCGAAAACCACCGAAGTGCCCGAAAACCACCGAGGCCACTCAGAACGAAGGCCCTGGCTGTGAGCGAAGGGTTTGGGGTCTTCAGGGTTCATAGGGTTTCGTCCGTTCTGGGTGTTCGGAACACGAGAGTATTGCTCCTACTGTTTCGCCAAACGCCAAGCAGACCAGCCGCACTGCAGGCTGCAGGGCAACAACTTTCCTACTGCGGCCCAGTCTTCGTGAAGTGGGTCGAGTTGAACGAAGGGAAGAACATAAGAGGCCAGCGTAGGCCGTGAGACCAGTGAAGAAAGCACACTCCAGCTCAACAAAACTCCACAATCCGACATGGCACCATCTGGACATCCCCAAATGTTAAGATTGCCCAACCAAGCCCTGGAACCTCAAGCCTCAAGCATTGTGCGCCTCACGACGTGGCGGTGGCCAGGAGTTTCACCAAAACCTCTGGGCCGTAGCTTTGGGCCCTCAACGCCTGGCATCACTGGCGCTTTCTGCCCTGGCTCTTTGCGGGGATTTAAAGTAGACCTAAAAAAATAAAACGTTGTAAGTTGTAAATGTTAAACAAAACTTCGGGCAGGGGAGGGTGCAACATTCGTGTTTGTTGGAAGGACTGGCCAAAAAAGATGCTGCATGAGACTTGCAGTCCACGAGAAAGGCTTTTTCAGACGAACCTCGATGGATCTGGATGGTTTTGGGTACATTGTACATCGAGCCTCCCCGACCTCGCGCGCTGCAGCTTTGCAGGCTTTCGCCTTCTGGATGCCGGATGCCACATCGTCTGCCTGGGTTGAGCCCATGGCTCACCAGGTCAGGAGGCCGGATACCACTACGCGGTCAAGTCACAGCGATCGTGGAATCATGAACCCAAAGACAAAGGGGATAAACCCGGTTCCTGAACCCTGGCCGCGGTGCCGTGAGGGTTTTCAGCTCTGCTGCTTGCGCGCCGATGCCACGCTGCTCCAGCAAAGCTGCGTGGAAGAACTGATCCCCCAACAGGGGTGAGATTACCTGGGGGACACTCAGTGGCAGGACTTCGCGGTTAAGGGTTTTGTTTGGGACAACGCTATCTTGCTCCCATGCACCCTCAACCGCCCAGCAGAAGTCCCAGCCACAGGTGGGATGCCGGCACGTAGCGTCGAGTTCACGACACCCGCCCCGCCATGGCTGAGCATCATGCCTGGCACAGCGTGGTGTAATCGGAATCTTCGCTGGTTCCGTGATGCGTTGCTGGTGCACGTTGCTGGCCGAGATGCTGCATCGCGGTAAGAGCCAAGGGTAGGGGACCGACGAGACCTGGAAGATGTTGGCAGAGATCCACTCATCGTCCTCGCACTTGAGGGCATCGCCAACGAAAACCTGAGCTGTAACACATGAATGTCCTTGCTTGGGTGTACGTCAGATATGAATCAGCTTGCAATTGCTCGCGGCAGCTGATTCAACCGGCCACTCCTCAGAGGCAAGAAATCCAAGCTCAGAAACCGAGTTTAGAACCCCCCTCAAGTAAGCAAACACTTCCAAATCTGGCAGATTTTTAGGGCCAGCTCCGGCACTCAACCTACCCTTCAAACACTTTTCAACCCATGATGCCCGATGCCTGAATACCTGGTCAGTTCTCAAAGTGATGGACCCTGTTTGGAATGCCTGCTGTAGAGCCGCCCTCTATTTGGAAGCCCCGGTGGTGGGGTGCTGGGGTCTGTGTCAAAATATATTCCTTTGAGTTTGGGATACAGATACTTATACATCCACATTGGGGGAAATGGCATCCCCGAATCTCCGCCCAGCAACCGCCCTCTCGCCCAAGCGCTTCAGCGCCTCCACAACCCTGACGGCCTGGACTTCGGGCAATCGGCCTCTCTGCTTTCTTGCTTGCATGCGGCCCGCGATCCTTGCTGAGCTCTTCCAATAACCGCAATCAAGATACAACTAAAAGGACAACATACAACTCAAAGGACGTGCTTCAATCGCCTCGCAGTGCCAAGGGCACTCCCTGATTCTGCACTTTCCCTTCTCGAAGCAGCCCCCCAGCACGACATCCCACCCATTACCATCCGACTGGGCTGTTTGTGACTTTGTTCCGCTTGCACGAAAAGCGCTTGCAACGCATCATTTGCCCCGGTCGGGTTTGCGGCGCCCTTTGTAGGCTTGGGGCTTGGGCCTGAGTGCTCCACGAGGGAATTAGAATTGCATTAGATTGCAAAAGCCTGAGACAGCCTGAGACAGCCTGAGACTACAAGGGCGCTCAAGTTCATGTTCTCCCACACCCATCGCGGCCTTGTCAAAGGGCATGGAGCCGTAGCCCACACACACTGGCGGCTCTGCAGAGGCCTGCAGGAACCTGAGGTTTCAGAAGCTTCCGTTGAATGCTGGTGACTCTGGCACTTCACGATCCACTGCGCTGACACAGCTGGCTACAACTGGTAAACATTGACAACGGCGTCCGGTGATGCAAAAGCGGGCTAGGCACTTCACGCGCAAAACAGACCCGCCACCCTATAGACTATAGAGCTGAAAAGCCCAAACATGTGGAGCCTAAACAGTCCGCCTTATTGCTATCGCCTACGGGTGAAATTTGACGTTTCGATCCTCGACCCCAGAGTATTCCAAACTGCTGAGGTCTACGGTCTCGACCAACTTGAAACCATCTCAAATCGCCCTAAGGGCTCCTCCAGGCCAGCAGGAGGTTCCCAGCCAATGGGAACGAGGCGGTCTGCAAGGGCGCCGACTTGATGGACGTGAGGGCCTCCAGCAAACAATGCCGCTGGGCCCACTTACAGGTCAACTGACCGCCACCTCTCTCCGAAAACAGGTAAGCCATGGCGGATTTGTGGCAGATACAACTCGGAGCCACTCAAACAGGTGACCCCTCCATTCGTGATGCACGCATGTACGTACAGCAATCGGTAGAATTTGAAAGCTGCAGTGCTTTAAGGCTGCCAAATCCCGAGCCTGCGTCAGACAGGGCGGGTATCAGCTCTGGGCAGCACGCGATCCTGACTCCAGATCAGGACGACGAAGCAGGCTTGCAACAACAACAACTCCTACAAGGAGAATAGAAGTCATGATGTCAATGTCCCAGGAGCGCAACCAGTATCTCCTTCCGCTCGCCACGCAGCATGGGGAGAAGGTCCTCTTCGAAACGGATCATGGGCACCCCCAGCTCTCGATACCAGCCTGCCAGCCTGAATGAGCTGCACAAGCAGGCAAGGCTTCTGGTACGAGCGCAGGTGATCTTGAATGTGCGGGGGCCTTCCAACCCAAAGGTCAACCCACACTCTTGGCAACAGCGCAATACACACCCGGCACAGGCAGGAGAACTTAGTACCTAAAAAAATGATGCAGTCTACCGGCCTTTGTATGAAACATTAGGCAGACGTGTCGTTTTGGGGCTTGCTTGCTGTATGTGCTTGAAAGGTAAAGGGCGTTGAGGCTTGAAAAGGTTTAGAGGGCTTTGGGCACATTCTTTTCCCCCGCCAAATCGTAGGCACACCTTATTGTACACCCCGCTCATGCGAGGCTATGGGGAGGCCAGGATGGGGTCAACGGGGGTCAAGCTCGAACGTCCCAAAGGACTTTCAACATCCGAATGCCTTGAGCGCCTCGAACTTGCGACTGCTCTCAACACCGCTCAAGCTGCTGGCCTTGCCTCTCCTCGGTGAACTCATGCTGGAAGCGCTCCTGGCGAAAGAGCCGCTGAGGCAGAATCCTCCAACAACCTTTTTCGACCCCTGCCGAACTCCCGCACAAGGGCTTGCAGGGCCAGAAGCACTGACGAGGTCCAGCAAGGTGTAGGTTTCGACGTTGGCATCGTCGCCCTTCTTGGAGAGGATCGCCTCGAGGAAGGCCTGGAGGGGTGGCTTTAGGAGCTCAGAGCTTCATGGCTTCATGGCCTCAGGCCTAAGAGATCGAAGAGCCCCCCCTTTAATAGGACCTCTACAGGCTGAGGTCCTGAAGCACGAGAACCCTCCCAAACCTAAACTCATCCTCAAACCCAAAACAACAGCTTAAGCCGCAAATTGAAGCACCTCCGTGTGTGAATAGTGCGGGAAGTCGCGCGTCGGCACCAGCGGCTGCAGGTGGACGATGCTCACCTGAGGCTTACGTGGCTTAAGGCCCAGGGCTGACAGCGGGCCGACATCTGGGCCCCCAATGAAGGCGTCAACTTTGTCAACCCTCTTGCTTTGAGCTGTCTTGAGCACGCAGTCACGCGGTGGAGTTGACACGCTAGCCGCTAGACCCAATGACTTGCGCAAGCCTGCAAGTACATCCCCGAGCGAGGGGCTAGATCCCATGCAACAACCCTAGCAGCATATCTGAATTCAGGGCCACACGGCCACGCCCTTCCAAGTTTTCGCCACCCTGGCATCCTCCTACATGGCATGTTTGGACAAGTTTCGGATCTCAGGGCGCTTAGGGCACACCCAGAGCCATCCAACCACACATCCCAGAACTTCGCGCCGAGGAACTGGGATGCCGTTCTTTGAACCCAGCAGCAGCCTCGATTGGCCCTCAACTCACTCTAACTGACTGTTTGTGTAGACACTCCGGGGCTTACGGTACATCACCAGCAACTATCAAGCTGGTGCCTAGAAACGGTGATGCAAGTAAGCTCGTATTCGTCGTGTTCGGATTGGCAGCATCACCGGCAGTATCGCAATAAGGCACAGAGTTTTAAGGCTTACGATTTCTGCCCGGAGCGCGCCAGCGGACGTGCTAAAGCTGAGGTGACAAGCACCGAGGCGTCCTCCGAGTTGGATTTGCGGGCTGCGGTGGCTGCAGGGCTTTCTCAGTATTCTAGGATTCTAGGACAAGGAGTTCAGTTCAAGGTTTCCAACCACCTTGTTCGGGTTTCGTGGAAGCTCGGGCTTTCATGGCTCCGTGGATGTTCCAAATTCCAAAGTTCCAGCCTCTATCGTGAATCCACATCGCCGTCCTTGGCAACTTCTTGCACCGATGGCACACATGGCAGGATGAGCTCGCATATGATGTCGGCCACGCCACCAACAAACTTCACCCGTGGGTTCGGGTGGTCGGTCCTTGCACAGAGTTGTTTGCAGCTCTGGGGTCGTCCATACTCCGGGACAGGTAACGAAGCCTGTAGCGGCAGGTGTTGATACAGCATCGACTCACGAAGAACCTGGCACGCCTACACATTCACGAAGAGTCCATAACTGCAGACCGTCAAGTTGTAGCTCGCCCAAAGCTCTCTTGACTTCGGGGGTGGGGGAGCGGGACGAAAGCTGGGGAGGGAGTCTAGGGGAGGCGGGCTCGGGTACAAGGCTCGTGAAATATTGGCATCGCATTTTTGGTCCCAAACCCCGAGCCTTAGACCCCGAACCTTCTTGCCCAAGTCCGAGCAACCCAAAACCCACAAGCCCGCAAAGGAAAAGCCCCAAGCCCCGAAACGCCAACCCTAAATCAAAACCTGTTTGGCTTAACCTGCTCGATGCTCCGCCAGTCCCCGAGGCACACGGAATTCATCATTTCGCGCCGACCCACTTCCCTGCACCCCCCCTCCTCCCCTAGGATGCTACCGCACTTTTGAGTATCTCAGCTGGCTCTCTCAGTCTCAGATGCTTTCGTGATTGCAGACTCGGATTCAAACTCGGAGGGCCTTAGGGCCTTAGGGTACAGATGGTATAGAGGGGTCTTTTGGCGAGGCATTGCGGCAAGTACGGCAACCGTAGCGTGCCAACACGTGCTTGAAGCCAAAGAAGCGCGGAGACGCGGAGAGACTCCAAACAGCCGGTGCAAGCCTTGCCATAGAACTAGCAGTAGATGGATTCGGAAAACGACTCTTCCTTGCCCCAGTGTCCCCTTGGACGGGTTGCCCGCGAACTTGTAGAAGTCCATCATTGTGAACCTTGCTGCATCAACCGCCTACCGCAAGACAAAGCAAGCAGGAACTTGTCTCGGTGACACACTGGGCTCCTCTGATTCTTTGGCACTCCAGCGCCAGCCTAACCCTACTTTATAATGTGGATGGCCAAACCCCGATTCAACTTGGAAGCACAAGGCCCCAAGCAGTTCCTCTTCAATATTCTTCAAGTCATAGCAGGGTGGCTAACCTTCGCGTTGAACGACACAAAGGTGCTAAGAAAAGCTCACACAGAAACTTTGCCCTAGCAGCGGCAGCAGGTGCACATTGGCCCCTTGTGGTGCCAAGTACACGGCGTCCGTCATGAGGAACATGTCCACAGCATGGCCTGCGTCCGCTGCAAGTTCTATTCAAGGCCTCGAGTCTTGCGTCGGGTCTGCGAATTCTTCCACCACCTGTTCTGGATTTGCCTGCTTGGCTTCTAACGGTTCTTGCAACCCGGGCTCCAAGCTGAATCTGCTGGCACGTGATGCTCCCAGCTATCATCTCGCTTCTCTTTACTTCGCCATGCATCGCGATGTTGGCGAAAGGCTTCAACAGAGGCATACGCGCACGTCTGCGGGAATGTCCCCCAAGTGGCCTTCAGCCAGAAGGTGCGCAGCCAAGCCCTTGGCTATGGCAATTTTCAAGCTCAGGGCTCCAGCGGCTAAGCTCGGAGGCTTACAGGACGACTCACCCCGCATGAGCACACCAATTCAAAAGAAGCCAGGACCTCGAAGGTGCTCATGGGTAAGAACTATGCTCCCCAATCCAGGCCTCTAGACACCTCTGTAAGCACACTCTGCAATTTGAACACCAACACCGTCAAGGTGCACAAAAGGGCTCGGCGTCCCCGCGACTGCCCACGGTGATGAGCAAGGCTCTCATCTTTGTGCACAGGGGCTACAGTATGCTGTGGTTTTGTCCTAGCTGAAAAATTGAATGCCATCCCGCCAATGAGCCAGTTGCGCGCGACCAGGCGAAGCTCACTGCCATCGCAAGATGCTGATCCTAAACTGCTCGCACTGTGTGGCCTCACAGAACCCATACCTGTGAAACTACAGCACAGCAAGCTCTACCTTCCTTCCGGTGATATAACAACAGGTCTCAGGTTCCGAAGCAAGGAAACCAGATTGTTGGTTAGTCAAACCTGACAGACACTGCGGCAATGAGACACAAGGTCCAAGCGGATGCTACCATGAAGCTGCTGGGGCCTGAAAATGCTCCCGCGAAATCGTGGAACGTCCGGAGGCGCCTTTGGCCACCAGCTCCTCTCCGGCAAGCGGGGGTTTCAGGGATGTTCAAGGGTTTTTGGATGATTTTGGGCCTGTTGGGATTCCATCGGCAGTCCTCGAAGAGCGGTGTCTGATGCGCCCGGCCCACGGAGAGCGGACCCTGCACTGGCTTACTTGAGAGCAGAGCCTTCGAAAGCTAGCAGCCGGGCAGCCTGGGGCCACACGAAGTTTGGCATGTTGGCAAGTGTTGACGAAACGAGCATCGCACCCACAAGGGTGAGGGGTACTCCTAAGAAGTTACTTTTCAAATGCAAGGTGCCCCCACCGCCCCAACCCCCGCATGAAAGGACAATACCCCACAGTTGTCCGTGATTGTCCCCCACCGGCATCAATCATCGAGGGCTGCCAGGATGGCCCACAACAAATAACATCGAAGATGCCAAAACCCCCACCCAACCTTGCGCATGGCAGCTGCAAAGAGGTCCTCCGAGCTTTCCTCCTGCTCTTGCAGATGCCGCTAGGTGCCGACAGGCGCTGATAGGTGTTGCACAGGATCGTGAGGCATGTGAAGCTTACAGGGTCTCGGGTCACAGCTCTGGCTTACGCATGCCTGCGGCTTACGCATGTTTACTGCACTGAGCACTGGGGCTACATGATCACATGATCTGCCAGCCGAATCGTAAACAGGTGGGATGAAGCATATTGCAGGGCGAAGGTGTCTGAGCGACACAGCCATCGAACCTCAAGGTGAGCTTCGTTGAACTTCCTAACTTGACAAGCCTGAATTGCCAAGAAGGGCCGCAACACACTCATTAGAGCTGTCAGCGCTGCCTCGAGACTTTGGGAAATGCGGCGCATCTCCGGAGGCAGCACTTGCACATCCGTGCCTCCAGGGGAATGCCAATGATCGAGTTTTCATGGCATTAGGATTGCATTCCGTGCGGCAATCAGATGGATCGTAACGTAGTCAATTGACAAAGAATCTGTGCCACCTCATGCGGAAGATGTGGCAGTTGCTGTGACGCCTTTTCGAGCGGCTTCTTGCATGTCGCGAAAATCTCGCCCCCCCACCCCCCGCCGGCACCGGCAGAGCATTCCGCACGTATCCAGCCCGAAAATTGTCTCAACATGTCCCAATACCCTGTGGGCCGAATACTTGCTTCAGCAGCGGCTGCCGCGCTGCTGGTGGCAGGGGCATCAGCTTCAAAATGCTGGCTGTAGTTTTGGGGTCAAAGCCCCGTGCTCAGGTGAAACACGCTAGTATTCTCGCGAAGCCCAGCTAGTTTTCAAGACGATGAAAGACATTGTCTAGAACTCTGAAAGCAGCACCGTCCCAACTATCCAACTTTGCCCAAAGCCTAGCTGCCGCCAGGCCCAAACCCCCCAACATCTTCAAACGACCATCTGCGGGCTCTCCGTGCATCGGTAGGTGCCGCCAAACTCCAAGGCTGTTTGGGGCAGCTCCAGCGTCTCCTTCCATTGGTGTTGGAAGCCCCTGCTTTGCGGCCTAAGTCCTGTTGCATCTGCCTCTCAGTTTGGGGTATGTCCGAAAACCATTCCCCAAGTGGACGCTCTGCGACGGAAGCAAGCACGTAAGACACGCCAATGCCGAAATTCATGTCCAGACCAGCTATCCCAAAAGTACCGCTTGATTTCGGCAGCGTTGTTGCAGGGAGACTTCGGTTTGGGATGCCTGTGCGGGGTGCCAAACAGCGCGAACGAGACTGCTTTTGAAGAGAACGAACAAATATAGTCGTATAAGGCAAGCAAACACCGGCAAGGGAAAACCACCATGCAGACGCCTTGAAGACAACATCATCCAAATCGACAACAAGCACACATCCTCAAGTAGACGTAACTTGAAACAAAAAAGATGGGCTGATGCGAATCTCCTAGTAGAGACATGCTAATGTGAATCGTCGTCCGGCTGCAAAGCAAAAAGCGATGCGACTTAATCCGCCACTGTAGTTTCGGAATGGTCATGTAGCTGTTGTGGATCCAGGCTTAAGGGTTGAGGTTCTGCTTACAACATCAGGGAGGGAAGGAGCACAGAGCTCCAAACGCTGGATTACATGCCAAAACAAGAAATGTATGTGTATATATACATATATAACATGTATGTATCTATGTATCTCTTTCTCTCTCTCTCTTCTTCTTCTTCTTCTTCTTCTTCTTCTTCTTCTTCTTCTTCTTCTTCTTCTTCTTCTTCTTCTTCTTCTTCTTCTTCTTCTTCTTCTTCTTCTTCTTCTTCTTCTTCTTCTTCTTCTTCTTCTTCTTCTTCTGCAGGGCTTGGGGGAGAACCCCCGCACACCAGGCGCGCCCGGAGGTGAGTTAGGTCTCGGTGAAATTTTGGCGATGGGCTCAGGTGGTTGGGTCCCTGCTGTGTTGCGTGTTGCTTCTCTTTTCCCGGCCCTGTTGGCCGGGAGGGCCCCCACTGCTCGCCCACCGGTGAAAACCGGTGCTTCGGTGTTTCCCCCATATTGGCCTCAAACTCTCTACAAACCCGCCCCCTTTAAGATGATCTAGGCTTCAGGCACCGATGATGTGCACCTTTCAACTTCCGGACGTCCCTAGCAAATGCATCCTTTCCCCCATCCATTTTGCTACTCCGTGTATTGGGTTTCCGGATTTGCCCTGGGATGTCCAGTCTGCTTACTACATATGTTCCCTCAACGCAACCTCTTCCCAAAGCCCCCAACCTGGCACTTACCGTTCCGAAACCTCCCTCTTCCCCCTCAACAGATCTTAACTTTCCCCTGTGGGAGTCACCGGCAGGCTCTCAGACTATGCCCCTTTCTCAGTAGACGGTGGTCTCGGTGGCCACGGCTGTGTTTCTGGCTCGTTCGTGTCCTCTACCTTTTCGCCCTTGCTTTCCCCTGCTGACGTCGGTGGTGGCTGGCTGTCATCAATCTCGATAGCGCGTTCCCCAAAATGGAGGTGCATCCAGTCATCCACGTGCTTGATGGCTCCCCGCACTATGGTTGCCACTTCCGCATCCAGGTACGGGAGAACTTCTACAAGCTGGCCTTTTGCAGCGACAGGCTGCGTTCTTGTGCCCTTTCTCCTCCTCGCGACTCTTCCGCCCCTGCTGCCAGCGCAATGACGTCCGCCGGATGCGCTTCCGGTCCCCTTGTTCGCTGCTCTCTCTCTTTTTTTTTTGTTGCCCAGCGAAGAGGCCCCCCGAAGAGGACCCCGGCCACGCTGGCCCGCTGCTCTGTCCGAGGTGAAAGTTTCAGGCACCGTGCCTTGACGGCCCACGATGGTGGTGTGGAAGTGTTCCGTTGCCACTCTTCTAGGGACAAAACGAGGCACTACACGGGTCCCCCTCACTTGTTTGGCATCCCCTCTCTCTCTCTCTCTCTCTCTCTCTCTGTCTCCTGCAAGACCCCGTGCTGGAAGACCTTGACCTTAGACCGGCTGGCGCGAGTGCGCTCAGGTGCAGCACTGCAAGATGGGCAAAACCAGGAATCAAAAAAAGTTCAACTCTGGGGGCTCATCAGCGTTGGGGTTCCTTCAGATATGTGCGGAAACCGAGGCACCCAGGCACGTGCGCGATAGCTTTCCACGCTGCCGGGACGGTTGCTCCAGCCCTCGCGTGTGGGAAAGTAAAGCGGGTCGGAGAAGGTCCCGGGCACAGCGCGCACTTCGAGCTCCTCGGCTTGTGTGATTTCATGCCTTGCGGACTTCCGTGAGGCTACTTGGGCTTACTGCTGTCCCGCTAAGGACACCCCGAACGGAATTTGTTTTGTGCAAGCAGGAATCCAAAACCCCGAAGGCAAAACATTCACTATGCGCCGCCCAAGTCTTAAAAGGCCTGAACCCAAGTCGGCGATCAGGGCAGACATGTGAAGCCCAGTTGGACTCACAAGTGACACAGGGCAGGGGTACAGTCTGTATGCCCTTTCAAGAGAGATCAGAGAACTCCAATTCTTGAAGAACCTTCGCACAACTTCAAGTCAGCCCAACCGGGCCTTAAACCACGCTGCAAGGCCATCACAAAATAATAAGCCGCTGGGTCACGGCTAGTGCAAGAGGTTCTGAAATCATAGCCTGCACGTTCAGCTCTTAGCCTGCACGTTCAGCTCTTATAGGAATACAGACAAAGACAAGGCCGGATGGGAAGTGCAAATTCATCGTTTGCTGCGCAAGAGGCGGAGCACTTCTAGTAGGACGGCCAGGAGGTTTTGCTTGACCAGCTCGAAGCACCAATAATGCTTTCTTAATCCTTTTTACATACACAGGTGTTTGAAACAATCAGGCGGCAAGCGCAGCGAAAACGCAAGAGGTGAGCGAAACGCATTTACGTCTTGTTTATAGAGACAACCAGTTGGCCAATAGCCAGCCCGGTCCAAATCGGCCCAAGTTGACACACGCAGCGCTCACGCAGCACACGCGGAACTTACACACATTTTCGGAAACAAGGGCTCAAAATCAAAAGCTGTTACGCTCACCAATCAGTCATCGCAAGACTGGCCGCAGTCCCGAAACTTAGCTTCTCTGAGCTTATGCGAAACGAGGCCACGCGGACCCTTCCGTGGACCTCACGAGTGTGGGCCTAGGTTCCGAAAGCCTGTTTCATGTTTCGAGGCGCTGGCGCAAAGAAGTGCAAAACCGCGAAGCCCTGACTCTATAAGCCAAAGGAGCTACTGAGTTACTTAACATCCCCCCTTCCTCTTTTTTGTGCATCCAGGCCCCCTAAACTGCTCGGCAAGACTCCAAGCGCCGACCGCTCAGGACCCGAGAGGCACTGAGAACCAGTAGGCTCCGGCAAGCGTCCACCTCACGGGTTTTGGTGGTAAGCACAATCTTAGCACCATCTTAGCACTCAACATCAGCATTAAGAAGCGGCCTCCTAGGCCTGTAATTGCGGCCGAAACAGCAGCTGCTTGGGTCATATGCATCTCAGAAGGCCAAGCCTGGGCAACAATGTGGTCCATGTTGACACTGCGGAAGTCCCAATGGAACCTGACCGGGCACCGCAACTCAGCAATTGTTCCGACGGCTCTAGTCACCCCAATTTTTTCAGAAGTGGCTGGAGTTGGGACTTTGACGACATGAACTGCACATTTGAAGGATGTCAAGTCCGACGACGGGACTCTAAGGTGTATAGAACTGTATAGACGTTGCATGACGTTGCACAAGTTTCGTTTCCTTGGATGCGCGCAGTCGTTCTCATGTCTCCAAGATTTGGGCAGGATTTCTCGGATGCCTTGCACAAAGTGCAATGGCCACGCGCTCATGGTGAACGTGAGACCCCACCCCGCTTCCGCCCAACCTCAAGTGTTCAAGATTTCCCTTAAGAACCTTGGCGAGCGGTAGGCCAGCAGGAACTGCCGCGCCGTCAGCTCCGCCAAGGTAAAGGCGCCACCAGTCAAGAGCAGCTGCGAGGAGCCGTCGCTCGAGATGCCCTCAACCCACCTCGCAAGGGGGCTTATGGTCGGGTTTAGGGTTTGGGTATAGTCATGCTTAACCCCACAGCCCACAAGCCAAACCGCAACAATTAACTCTTGAAACTGCCCCAAGCCGCGTCCATGCACTTGGGAAGAAACTGCCGTAGTTGGCCTCCTGATGTGCAAAGCCAAACCCTCGCAGCCTTGGGCAAGCAAAACACTGTCATGGACTAAACACTCAATCAATTCAGCAGCTGCTGCAGGCCTTGGACCTATGTCCCATGTCATCCAATTATCTAATTTAAGTCACCTGGCTCGTTCACAGCGTAGGTAGCGGTAGACCCGAGTGAGTGGACGAAGTAGTGCGTCGGAAGCCTTGTTTGGACCATCAACACATAGCCTCCCAAGTACTGCCACGTTTACATCAAGGAACCGTGTCCATTGCAGCAAAGGAATGGGGGGCCAGTTGGAAGGGATGAAAAAGTACTTCACTCCAGGTGTTAAACTTAAGCACACTAGCGGCCCTAGCGGTGACTCAGTATTGACCCGAGGTGTATCCAAACATTGCAATGGCCGAGCTGCAACCCCGAGGGTAGGCGACCGGCCCAACCCTCCGGACCGCAGGTGTCTTTGCCTCAGTGGAAGTAGGGTTTAATCGAGATTTAAAGAAACACTCTCAAGGCTTCGGGACTCAGGTCATAGTGGCACACAAGGGACCAGCATAAGTGTACCGTGAGTAGAACTAGAAAGGACCCCCTCACCAGCAATCAGCTGGACTGCGCTGCTTCGACTCTCGGCACGTTCAAGACTTTACAGCTCCACCTCGCCTGGACTGCTGCTCGTAACTCCTGTTGCTCACAAGCAAGTCTGAAGATTGCGGTGGTTCTCTGTGGCCAAACTTCTTTCATGATAAAGATGCTTGTTCGGCGGGCCCCTCGAACATTGCCGAACTTCGCACTAGGCTACCCACGGACCAGCCCCTTCCGCGCCGGTTTCTGCACCATAGAAAACGCTGCTGAATCCACAGCCCTGTCAAGTCACACGCTGCGTCCCAGGGCACACGGTTGTCGAGCGAAGCTTCCTTGCTGGCTTCATTTTGAGCTTTAGGCGCCTTCTACCATTTTGCACCTCTGCGACCAATCCCCACAACGAACGGTTCTTGAAGTTGTAGACGTTTTCTGTAAGCTAGAGCGCTTCATCAGCCAAAAATCCCTCTGCCACTTGCCCGGGCCGCAGCAACACCCCAACTACAGGCGCCAGTCAAGTACCCCTTGCTGTAAAGCCAAGGTATTGACCTGCAGAGCTGGGGTTGAAAGCTCGCCCATGCGTGGCCGCAAACCCATTCAGGGGCCTGAACACATCGGTTCATTGTGAGTCCACAATTGTCAAGACTTTTTGCTGACAGCTTTTAAATCTGTAGCTCTGAACTTACGTGTCGCTTTAATGCGCCGAGCTTCGACTTTCAAGCCCGACGGGAAGGTGAGGAGCAGCTCCGATTTGCTGTCGTTGACCGCAAATCTGTGGGCTCAGGGAGGGCCCAACTGCCTACCAAAGTCCTACAACGCTCCCCCCCCCCCCCGCCCACCCCCACACCAAGCCTGCCAATCTCGGACTCGACCTCAAAGATGGCCGGCTGACTACGCGGCAGCTCTTTGTTGACGGGGCGTCCTCTGTCCGTTATTCGGACCGAGGACTGCGAAGGAAAGACCTGGCGCAGACTGAGGCGACCTTTCGGTCCTGTTTTCGATCACCATGTTGTACGATTCATCAAGATTCTAAGAGCGATTGTTTTACACAGCCACCTGCTCAGTGATCATTGTGCCATTGGCATGAGAGACCAGAGCAGCAGCCCAGCTGGAAGTGAAGTTGGTGGCGCCCTTGGCTTGGAAGGAGGCGATGATGACAGCGACGCTGCGATTTGAATGCTGGTCGATGATGCGGGTGAACCAACCCTCGAACCAGGGCCCGTCCGGCCGCACCGGGAAGGGTTCGAAGGGTGAAGCGTGCACTAGAGCAGCCCACGCCGCAGCACGCCACATGGCTGGTCAATGCTGGTCAGGAATGAGAGTTGAGTCTGTCATCAAGCACTCATTGTCCGCTGCTAGCTCATGGCCATGTGCTGGCTCACCAAAATGAGCTCAAAAGGCTGCACGCACGAAACTCCTCATTAAGATCCCCGGGCTGTTGACGGAGGGGCATACCGGGCGGTGAGTGATGCTGCCGGGCCATTCAGGCCTTGTGCACGAATGCACTCCAGGGCAAAGAGCTCGGTGTCACTTGTTGGCACCTCCACAATACAAGGGTATTTGGCGTGCCCTCCGCCTGTTACAATACGCCTCCTAACTCAACCTCCCTTGTGCCATACACTACTCCGGCGGCATCACAGGACCCATGGATCTGTGCGAACCTCCTTCAAAGCCTCAACACATGAGCCGAGGACACCCGCAAAATCCCGAGCTGATGAGGCATGGGTACGCTTAGTCTAGAAATCCTCCAGTCTAGAATAAGCCTTAGCCACCCAACCCAGACCCACCCCCATCCACTGTTGCGACATCATCGACACCATTTTTGCAACAGGCTCAGTGCAACTCATCTTGTGACGACACTGCGCTGAGGCCCCGGACCTGTGGCACGTTCGGCTTTGGAGCGTGCCTGGGGCTCATGACCCGGGAAGCCTGCTCCTCCGGCCTCGGCTCCTGGCGGTCCAAAGTTGCGGAGCTTTCCTGAGGGTTTGGATGGCAAACTCCAATTTGCTCTCTGGGTAACATGGCCTAACCTCAAACAGACACGAACTGCCGCTACAGTCACGACTGCCTGGATCACCAGAGATCTGCCAAGACCAGACAAACAAGCCCCTGCACATGTAACGACACAAGGCAAGCATACGCATCTGTTTTAGGCTAGGCTTCGACTTTTGGATCGGAAAGGGCTCCTCAATTAAACAAGAGCACGGATTTCTCGCAGAAATTGCGCCTGTGTTTTCTTGAGGGAGTCCGTAGCTACAGATACTCGAAATGACAGCATGCTCTCTATATGTCATACGAAACTCACTACTCCTTCTAAATCATGCCGGCGTAGACCCCAAACAGTGAGGAGGGCCAGAAAAGGCCAAAGAAGGCCAGAAGAGCACCGACACTCCCGGGGACAAAAAGTACAAAAGTTCGTGGGGGCCGAATTCCCTTGGGGGTCAAGGGACGCCAATTACTGGGGGATTCGGCTTTGCACGCGTGTGGAACTTGGGGGCCAAAAGAACTTGGGGGCCAAAAGACCCAGCTGATGCTCATGATGCTCAACCCCAAAATCGCTACCCCATAATACTAACCCCCGGCACCCAGCCGCAGGGTTGACTCTAAACCCTAAAACACCCCCGAAACCCTGTGTTTTTATTGATCCTGGTTTCAGGTGGTCTCACCGCGCGCGCCGTTGCGGTCGGCAACCTAAGTGGCCCCCCCAGAAGAGGAAGAGGCCACGAGAGGCCGGAATTCGCGCGAAACCACAGCGGGAGCGTCGAAACCAAGGCCCCGTCCCACCGCCGCGCGCGCCGTTGCGGTCAGCAACCAATTCCTTTACTCTGAACGTAAGAGCCCCATTGTGCAAGCACTGTTTGGGGAATTAACACGAAACCTCAATTGCCTCTGCACTTTGATAGGAAACCCTCCCGCCGCCATTTTTTATGAGGAATGTTTCTAAGCCGTTAAAACTTCGGAAAACCTCCGTTTTGATCGGTCACCTCTATTTCCCGCACAAGCACGAGAAAGCACAATGGAGTACAAAAAAAAATAATATAAAAATGGGAGATATGGGTACTTTGTGACCAAAGGTTGAGCCCACAGGCTGCTTTTTGCCACTCTTCACTTGGACTGTCGGATATTCAGGGCACATGACGTCACAAGCAGTAAAGGTGTACATGGGCCATGTCCACCTGATTGCAGGCACTTCAAGAAAGCGTACTCTCTTGATATCACAGCGAATCTGGACGGTTTTTGTGATCCAGAAATGTTCGCTTCCCCCCTGCATAGTACAACAGCTGTCCCTCGTGCAGTTCAGGAGTGGCCCCAGACACACAAGAACACGAATCCCAAACAAAACTGGCCCTCCATTTAAAACAGCCTCACGAGGCCGTGCTGCCGGCGGGGGGGAGGCGACGACACTGCGCCTGGCATCCGTATTCGTGGGACTTGGGGGGAAGGCATCTAGTAGGGTTTCCAGTGGTTCCTTCTGAAACGGTCCACAGAGCATTCAACATATTCAACTGTAAAGGGTCTTTCATGGCCCCCGAAAAATGCTCGTCCATGGCTTCCTGCCTAAGAAGCCATCTAATCCTACTGTATTTGTGCCCTGTCGCGGTTCCAATATGATTGCCTTTAATGGAGAGCGACTGCCATTATAGCTGAAACCAAACCTCAAGATTTCACCATGGCCTGGTCGTGTCTGCCAAGCAACATGTTCCAGGTGCAGGAATGATGAGATGTCGACACATGGGCACCCACCCACTATTCTCGACATTCTGTTCCATCTGTCGGCAATGCTGGGCATCCGGCTGTGTCCACGCCTTCTGCAAAGGTGAGAACGCACGCGCCTGCAAGGCTTTGCAGGTTATGTCAGCGACATCCATCATTGCTTGGCAAGGCTCTGTTTCTTGAAGTTTTTAAAAGGCTGAGCAAAGTCCGTGGAGAAAGTGTTCAGCAGCCGGGGTTCACCAGAGGTGAAGCGTGGGGTACTCGCCTGAAGCAAAAACACCCATCCTGGTCGGTACAAACCCAGACCCGTCTACAGAAGGAAGCAGGCTCAAGGAAGCAGAGAAGAAAGATGAAAAATCTATCAAATCTGCGGGGCCCCATTCCTGACCACTGCACTTCGTGTATAACGGATGGGCAAGCGCAGTGTGAGTGCTAGCGAGCTTCAGTTTCTTCTTATTCTTCTTATTCTTATTCTTCTTCTTCTTCTTATTCTTATTCTTCTTATTATTCTTCTTCTTCTTCTGCTTCTTCTTCTTCTTCTGCTTCTTCTTCCTCTTCTGCTTCTTCTTCTTCTGCTTCTTCTTCTTCTGCTTCTTCTTCTTCTGCTTCTTCTTATTCTTCTTCTGCTTCTTCTTATTCTTCTGCATCTTCTTCTTCTTCCTATTATTCTTCTGCTTCTTCTTCTTTTTCTTCTTTTTCTTCATCAGGCCTGGGCACCGAGAGGCTCCACGGGCGTGGGAAGTGGCGGACAGACGGGCGCCTTTGCGGTGAGTGTCTGGGGGCAAAGTCGAGTCTACTCTGGGTTTCTTCACGCTTGCCGAGATAAGGCCTGCAAGAAGATGGACTGAAAAAGACAAAGTTTTGACAGAGACACAAAGAGACAGAGACAAACAGAGAGACTAACCTCCACAAGGGAAGGCCCAAGCAACTTGCTTGAAGCTGATCACCTTGTAACATGGTGTCTGCTTGGAAGTCCTGAAGGTCTTTACATCCCAAGCGCCGAGCAACCTTTCCCAACATCCTCGAGTGCTCGCGTCTGGCTCTGGGTGACTACTTACTGTCGAACGCCGAGGCTCTGCTGAACTGGGGAGCTCGGCGATGGCACGCAGCGCACGCACCTCTGAGTGCATTCGGTCTTGCATTTTCGAAAGCTCGGCATAAGTCTCAAAGAGATTTCTCGGCTTGAATGCGTTATCTTTGATGCACATTTGTTACATCTTCCAATTGTGGAAGGAAGGATTGAAACATAGCGCCCTCTTGCTGAATAATCTGCAAGTCCTGACTTTTGAGTTTGAAGCACGGTTTTGGGTGTAGGGTTTCCTGTCTTGAGATAGTACTGCTGACAGCTGTTGTTCGGGGATAGAGCTGCCTGCACCTAGTCCAACATGCAGAATATCTAAAGCCGCAACAGCAAACCGCCAAAAAACCCAAAACGCCGAACCCGAAAGCCTGAAATCCAAAAACTCCCAACGCCCTCTCTTCCGGTATTTCCAAGGCCGCAGCGATTTCTGCAAAGTTGGGCCGGGCCTCCTCCCAAGCACTCTTTTTTTGGGGTGCTACCTAGCCGGCAATGGCATCGGTACCCAGATTCACATGGTCAAATTTAAACGGCTTGGTATTGGAACCAGATCTTTGTCTCCGGGGTTAGGGCTTGCCACTCGACATCCCTTTTCGCCCATTAAGGTGTGGGATATTACCAGATTTCCTTTCGAGTTGTAGAGAACATCGTATTTTGGACTTGCCACTCAAAATCTCCTTTCAGGGATTGGGTTTGCCACATTTCCTTTCGGATTTTCAGGTCTCCTGGGGGTATAGGGTTTGCCACCCAACAATTCCTTTGTGGTTCTCGGCCTGCCGCCCAACATGCCCTTTCAGCCGGGGGGAGGGCATCCCGGTAGCAACGGGCAATTAGCCTTGACGCCCTGAGGCACAAAAGGCAACAAGCAAGCAAACAAAATGCTACGACACCGGCGGACTGAACGCTACCGCTTCGACATCTGCTTGCAGATCGAGCCTGCCACACTTGATGCATCCCTGCTAGCCATGGGGCACAATGTAATACTTTTAATAATGGAGTTTGCACATGACCGTGGCACGGGAGGTCGGCCTGAAAGTCGTTGCATGCGATTGCCGCACCCCAGAGGCACGTGTCCAGATTGTAAGCTCGTGGGCTCAGACGCCCCCGTCCAGATTGTAAGCTCGTGGGCTCAGAACCCCTCATCGGCAACGAAGCACGACACGCCACGACTCTCACACTCGCGCACGGCGAGGTTTGGGTTCAAGGGGTTTGCTGGGCCTGCCCTCGAGGAACCACAGATTCGTTGCGAAGAGGGGACACCAGCAGAACCCACATGAAGTGTAGAGCCAACTCAACCGCTCCAAGAAAGAAACCAGACTGAACCCATTCCCTCGAACCCCGCTCCCCTCCCCGAAAATACTTCGAGACACCCGAAAGCTGAAGAAAAACCGTACCCTGCCGTTGCGGGCTGGAGACCCTTCGGGGTGTGTAGATGAGCTGAAAGTGTGAAAAGACGGCCTCCCGGAGACGCGTGCAGCGCAGTGCCAACTCTGCCATGGCCCGTGCGGTGGCAGGGGGCCAGGCCGCCTCTGCGACAAGCTAAGAGCAGCACTTTAGGGCAGTTTGAGTTTTTGCAGTTGAGGGCTGAAGCTTTGCGACGTGTCATGTCAGGGTTTCCAACAAAGGCTTCAAAGGAAAGAGCCTGGTGTGCTGAAAAGAGGCTGAGGAGTACTTCCTCTGAACTACAGTACCTCCATGACCTACAAGCTCAAACCAGATGCTTGGAGTAGTCGGATTAGTCGGGAAGGCTGAGTTGAAATTGTCTAGCCTGGCCCTGTTTGCAAGGGCCTCTCCCCCCCAAGCAGCTCAGGCAGTGTTAGGTACATGGTGCACGTGACAACAAGCATCTACAAGGTTTTAGCGAAGCCTTCTTGTCCAGCAAGTTCAGGGCATTCTGCAGGTCTCCGTTGATACGGTGCGCGAGGTACTGCGAGGCGTTTCAGACCAGGCGAATGGGAGCTTCATGATTGCTTAGCCCCCTCTGAACCGCAACTATCCATGATGGCTAGATCGAATCTCGAGCTTGCACCCCTCTTTGCGCAGGCTTTCGCACTTCTAGCTCTTGGGAGAACCCCTCGGAGGCTATTGTCACCTGGATCTGGCCGCTTCCCTCGCCAGACTTCCGGCTCATGAAGGCAGGCCTGGCTTGCGAACCCTATTCTTCCAACAGCGCCATGGATGGGCACTCGAGGATAACTTTGTTTCTTTCTTAGTGTAGGATTTGTGTAGGATTTGTTTGGATTTGTGTTGCAGCAGTCGGCACTTCCAACGAATGGTCTGAGTTCAACATCTCTCACATCTTGTGGAAGAACTGGTCTGGGTGAAGCAAGCCACACTGGACGGATTCGCTCAAATTCAGGCTCGTAAACATGGGTCTCGAAGAGCGTCTTCAGGCCATTCGATCTGTGATGTGCGGGTCAGACACGCTAAGCCAGCTAAGCTGAGAAAGGCACGGCGACGAAGTGAGCAGCTCGAACAAAACCATGCCGAAGGAATAGACCTCCAGGCCATTGGTACGATCCTGTATCCCAAGCGTTTGATCCTGTATCCCGATACTGAGAAGTGACCATGACTTTTCAACATCAACAGCAGGACCATCGAGCGAAAGTGACGGAACCCAGCTTAAGGACACTTCATGATTAGTCATTCCGAGGTTTCGGACTGGCTGTGATAACAGGCTGAAGACTCAACTATCAATGATTGCTTGATCTGTGTCTGGCCGTCCCTGCACGCATGACAAGCCTCTGAGCCCTCGGTGACCACACCGCGCCGGACATAAAGCGGGCAGGCGTAACCGACCTGGGAAAGGCAGCGACTTGATGATCTTCTCACTACCCAAAACTCGGAATATGTCTGAATCCTGTGAACGCCAACCCAAGACCCCTCGCACTGAAACTTCGCCCTCGCACTTAAACTTAAACCTCACAAAAGGCCTCAAACAGAACTCAAAAACAAAGACCCTTTGGTGCTAAGGCCGATCATTAGGGCCCCCGGCCGTGCCCGAAGCCCGAGACACCCGGTGCGCTGCAGTGTGAGACAAGCATGCCAGACCTGGGCTTTGCCTTATGTGGTCCAAAGGTTAACCTTTCTTTGCAATACTTCGTAGTGTAAAAACTCCAAGCACATCCAAAAGCGCATCCAGAAGCACACTGTGCATCTGAACGCAAGAAGTTGTACAAGGTTGGTGGCAAAGACCGCAGAAGAAGACTTTGCAGCGCCCCACGTTCCCACTTCTCGTCCCTGCTTGCACAAAGGTTTAGGGCCTAATTGTTCTCCGTCGCAGGGGGGGTGTACGGCCACATTGCGTTTGAGTTGATTTTTGCCACCCGACAGCTCGGGAGTTTAGGCGTGTTAGGGCGTGGCAGTATGCATCATCTCGCACTGGCAGAAGCAGGCTTCAGCTAAATGATCATACGGGCCGTTTGCGACCGAGACCATAATTTGAGGCACCGAGCAGTAACCATAGGACCCGAAACTTAAGCAAACGCTTGAGAATGGACCCACCCAAGCCCAATGAACTTGATAGGACCGGTAGGCTAGTAAAGGGTGCTGTCTGGTTCTCTAAGATTGGGCAGAATTTCTGCTTCGCGGACTGACCCAAATTCTGTTGCGACTCTCCTTGGGAGAGGCGGCCTAGTCGTGAATGTGGAGCAGCTTTAAAAGGACCATGCCAACATAGTGCGTTCCCACCTAAACGCTAATGGCAGCACCAAACTGCTCCACATGCCAAGCACAGTGCTTGGATGCATGATCAGTCATAGCATTAGCAGTAACTAGGGAAGAACACGGCAGCCTTGCATGATGACTCTTGGAGCCAGGCCGACTGTCTAGGCATGAAACTCGCCGCACTGTCACATCAGCGCCCGCCCATAAGGAAGAGCAGGCAGTGACAAGGTCTTCGGCTCGCTAGGACGCGTCTCGTCAACTTTCTGGCGTGGTGCAGGCATGGGCTTGGGCAATGACTGCAGGAGGATGGTGCGAGGTCGTTGGAACTCGGGAATGCGGCGCAGGCACTCCTGGTAGCGCCGCTCGTACATGGCAAAGCGCGCCACTTCCAAGGGGCCGCCATCGTAGGCAAACTCCACCTCCTCGATTAGGGTCGCGACATCCCAAAGGTGCCTGTTGAGTGTGGAGCCCGTGTAGAAGGGTTTTCCTCCCAGCGCGTCCCCCAACAGTATGAAAGGCACCAAGCGGTCGGAGCTCGGCAGCTGGCACACAGCATGATCTGCCGACCAGTACGCAGCCTCGACGAACCTCAAGCGAAGCCCAGGATGCAGCAATCAACTTCTACACAATTTTACTCCCACACCCAAACGCACGAACCACCCCAGAAAAGCCCCTGCGAGCCTACAGGTGATGCCTGCCGCTCGAATGCGCTGCTGCAAGGCCTCGAGCGCGGGCCGCAGCAACTGAGAGGTCGCTCCGACCAGGTCCTGCAGGGGCACAGGCTGTGGACCTGATTGGACCTGTAAGTCTCAAGTACTTCTTGCGAATTTCGGAGTTTAGGCTTGCCGGGGGCCTGGACCCCGGCAGTGAAACGGTTTTGACAGCCATGGCGGCCATGAGCACAGCAAGAGAAAATTAGTATGGAACAGTGGCGAATCGTTCATTCATGACAGCCTTCGGATGGGTGAATGGGTCTCCCATCCATGCTGAGCAAGCAGCGGCAGCAAATCGGTGACAATCAGCCGCGCTGTATTTTCTTTTTTGAATCAAACACTGGTCAAACCTGGGACCTTTTATACCTGTCGTAAGGCAGTTTTGGACCAGACTCCATGTAACCATGCACACCCCATCATGATGTTGCACAGTGCCTTCTGCATGTGTTCGACCACATGGGGTCCTCGAAAGCCTGCGCCAGCGTGTCCCGCTGCGTGGTCGACGTGCCCTTCAGGACAAAGGACTCCAGCACCTCATTGGAAAGGCCGAAAACCCAGAGCCAGCAGGCGCAAGCGCCCTCAAAGCCTGGGCGCAGCATCACACGGAGCCCAGGGTAGCGGCCTGCTTGCTGGGCGGCGCCGGAAAGGTCCAGGCTTCCAAGCTGCCAGGCATCCGCCCCCTGAAGCTCCTGGACCTGGAAAACCACCACGCGCTGACTGTCGCCAGTCTTCACCTCGCAACCCAAATCCTTTCGGAAGCAGTCACTGAGAGAACGCCGCCCAGCGGCCCAAAGAATGCAGTCAAACTGCCCGGTCTGGCAAAGCTCCGCTGGATCTGTTATCGAGGAGCCGTAACCGATCTTGGCCTCCTGCCCAGCCACTTTCTTCCAGCGCCTGAGGAACGTGTCCTCGATCTCTGCTACTGGCATGCCAGAAGTGAAGCTCCGAGACTTGGTCTGCTGGTCCAGCATCGCCCTTGTAGAGGAAGAGAGGGCAATCCTGATGTCAGTTCTTGTGCAGTGGCTCTCCATGGTCCGTGCCTCAAGAAGAACAACCTCAGGTGCGTCTGGTCGGAGCCGAGCGCAGCCGGAGCCATCAGTCCAGCGGTACTTCTGCGCTAGCAGCATGGCTGCCCACAAGCCTACCGGACCGGCACCCACAATGGCGATCCTCCGCCTTGTGATACCGGCCCAGTTGAGGTCATCCACGGCATTGTCAAAGACACCCCCACGAACCTGTGGCATCTTGGCCAGGAGACGCTGGGCGATTCGCGCTTGACACTCTTTCCGAAAGGCCTCCAAGTCCACGTTGGCTGCCAGGGCGGCCGCCTTTGCCCGGCGAGCCTCTTCAGTGGCTTTCTCCAGCTCGGACCGCTCTGCAAGCCGCTCACGCGTTCGCGCAACGAAACTTCGGAGGTCCATGGCACCTGTGGCATGGGTGGCATTCGCGGCACCAGTGCTCCGCTTCTCTCGGGAGGCTTCGGCCTCGGCCACTAGGGCTGCGGCTGCTGCAGCCTCGGCTTCACAAGCCTTCGTGTCCAAACGCTCCTTGGTCTTGACCAGGAAGGCTTCGAGGTCTGCTCCGAAGCCACGCCTCTTCTTGGCCTTGGCTTCTGCCTTGCGCTTGGCCTTGCGTGCGGCTTTCCGCTCTTGCCTGAGTCGCTTGCAGACCCTGCGTGCCGCCAACGCGGCGGCATCCAACGATTTTTTCTTTTTGGGCTTCTCTGTTGGTTCTTCTATGAGGATTTCACCATCCAGCTCGGCTTCATCGACCTCCGCTGGCCAAGATGCATCGGTGGGCGCTTCGGAAACGATCTCCAGCAAATCCTCCGCTTCAGATTGATCCTGCAGGTCCTGATCGTCAGATTCATCCGGCTCTAGTGGCCTCTTGTCTTGGGAGGACAACGCCCCCCCGCCTGGCTCCTCCATCAGTTTGGCCTTTGAACCGCACAATGCCAGCGGATGTGATCAGCGAATGCCTGGACATGCCCTCACAGGTCCTATGGGAAACTTCTGGAGACTTGCTCGGCGAGAAGGCCAGGCCCCGGCCAAAGTCTGCCATTTTGGCAGTCCCGTTCCGGTCCAGCAGGATGTTGGGACTCTTTATGTCGCGGTGAAACACCTCAGCTTGGATGCTGGTCGTGAACTTGTTGACAAGTTGCAATCACCACACCACACATGCAGAACAGCAAAAAAAAAGCCGAACGCAAGCCTTGGGAGAAGCGTAGTGCAGGTGTGACAGGCCGCAAGCCGCGTCCAACGCCACACCAACCTGTCAGATTAATTGATATTACCAACAATTCCGGCTTTATTCGGCCGTGCCACGCCGTGCCGGCTGACAACTGTCCGGAATGAAGCTCAACAGCAGGATCAAACAAAGCAAACAACACAGCGAAGATGACTCGCACCATCGCCAGAATAAGCACGAGGCCCGTTCTCGCCAAGGAAAGGGTATGTCCTCGTGGCAGCTCCGCTGTATCCTGGCCGACACAGCTCCACACGCATGTCCAAGCTTGAGCAACGGGCGGCTTCCCCGTGCGCCTCCGATGGACATCACCCCCAGACAGCAGCTCATAAACCAACAAACGCTTGGCTCCGTGTCGGGCGAAACCTTGGATGCTGAAAGTGGACAGAAGCGAGAACGCTGTCTGGGTCATGTCGTCTCACCAGAGAAAGAGCATTGAAGCTGAGTTCCAACTTTTTGGTTTCAGCTAGCAAGGTGTGTGTCTGGACGGCTTGCATGGGCTTTACGCAAAGGACCAGGTTCGCACAGATGGGTGTGAGCAACAGCGGTTTTAAGCTCCCAGCCCATCAGGATCACCAGATGAGGATGTCGGAACTTGCTGAGAACCTGGCGCCGGGCCAAAAACACACACAAAACTGCGGCTTCAAAGGCTTCAAAAGCTTCAAGGGCTTCAAATCTTCAAAGGCTTCAAGACAAGACCGGAGCTGCCTTGACCTCCTCTTCGAAGCCCGCCTCGTTGGGCACGTCCAGAACCTGAATTCTCACAGAAAGGGTTCCTAGGGCCCCTTACAGAACGCTGTAAGGGCTTGCTCATCTACGGCATCTTGGCGGATAACGGCGCAACGTGGTTGATATGGTACGCGAATCAACGACTGACATGCTCGTCGGGTAGGCGCAACACCTTGATGGCAACCTCCGTGCCATCCTCCACATTCACCAGTCACAACAATTAGCAGAGCTTTGCATTCACAAAATTGTCCCAGGTTTGAGACTTAAAGGCCCCGAGCATGGCAGATCGGCCGGTCCTTCAGGATGCCTTTGTAGACGCCCCCTGCACGGTGAGGAAAGTGCTTGCAAGGCGCGCACTGGCTCCCAGCAGCCGGCTGCGAAGCAGAATCTTTGCAGCCCCTGGTGCTAAGAGCGCAGCCGTACGAACCGGAACCTAGCACGACCAACAAGAGAACATGCAACATGTTCACCGCAGGGTGCGCAGCAAGTGATTCACAGTGAGTGGCATCCCTCTGCTCCCGAACATGTTGTCACAATATCGTGGTGGCTGCCGGCACACAGGGATTCATGATGTAAAAACAACCCGTCACACGCTATGGCTCGGGCCAAGCTTCATGTGAGCCTCATCGAAATTGTTGGTGGCCTGATTGTTTCTGGCCACTTCCTTTTTCAAAAGCTTTCCAGCACTCAACCAGACTCGGGGCAATGACTTCGCGCAACTTCCGGTGTGCTGATTCATGAAACCCGCCGACACGATGAGTCTCAAGCTCCCCCTTAAATTTGTTGAGCACATGGAGCTGCCTGCTTCAACTCCTCGTAAGTGTACTCAAGGCAGATGTCATTCAGGTTTCGGTCCTGACTTCCAAGCATTGAAAGCCGCAGGATGGCAGAGCTGCTGGCATGCAATTGCCAGTGGGAGTGCCCCTCCGATTTGGCAATTGGCAACGCAACGGCAAGAGATAACAGGCTAAGCACGGAACGGCATAGCCTCCCAAGTCGCCCAACCTCCGAAGCTGGAGTGTTCATGGAGTGCATCCAAACATATATTGCGAAGAAAGCCGGCAACGTCACTCGTTTGAACCATCTCATTGTTGTGTGGCGATGGAATCTGCCGATTTGACAGGTCCCATGATTTTCTGACGAATCAAATCGTCTGCGACTTTCCTCAAGAGGACAAGCCGAAAATCTTGAACTAAAGGCCAGGGGCAAACGTGTAGAGGAAACTCTGGCTGCGGCCGGCGTCTTGGGAAAAAACACTGGCTGACAGAGAATTGAGATGTTCGAGTTGGTTATGGTATCCACGGTTTCGGCGTACAGCCCGTACAGCCGACCAGAGCCTTGGCGCAGTTCGCAAAATACAGGTCTCATGCCTCATGCGACAAAGTGTTCCTGCTGGTGTTCGGCCCTCCCCTCATGGATTGTTTTTTGCTTGCAAATTCCATGCACGAACAGACACAGCTCATCACACGCCATGGGACAAAGACCAATTTCTGTTGCTACATCGGCAGTGTGGTCTCAAAGTTCTGCTCGATGGCGTGTTGGATGGATGGGGGTGGTGATGTTAGCTTGGTTTGTTTGGTGTTCGCATAAACTTTGCTTTGCACCCTCACGGTTAGCGCGTGCATGAAGGGGGCCCCATGGCTCATCGAACTCCCAGGCAAAATGCACTTCTAGGATTTTCCAGCCAACTCCTTGAAAGCTCTTTGCAAGGTATGGAATGGCATTGACAAATTTTGAACGAAGGCGCCAAAGCCCAAGCACGGAGCTTGCCTCACAGAGCATGCAACCTTAGCTCACGCAAGGTCAGGCTGAGAAAAGTTGTTGCCCTCATAGCCGGCATTGACAGACACGCGGACCACATCACTATCTTGGATTTGCAATCCTGGCAGGCCTCTCCACCACTAGATGTGCATCGCCGCAAATATTCTTTACCACTGTCATGGTTCTCTTCAGCTCTCTCCTCGTCCCCGTTGAATTTAGATCCGGACCTTCGGGCTTGAGGCATTTTGTTGGTAAGCTCCGGGCTCGCTGCAGCGCTGGGGGGTAGTTTACCGGCGGCGCAAAGGGCTTGACCAGCTGCATCAACAGCCCCTGGCCCTGCTTTTGCAGGTTCCCACCATGTGCCCAATGTTGTGGTTGTCACATGTTACATGTTACTACCATCATTGAAAAAGTATCGAAGACCTGACCTTTCCTTTACTTGTTCAACTTGACAAGCCAATATGGGTCGGTAGGTTCAGGGGGCTTCGACTTGGGCATGACATCCAGGCATGAAATGAGCCAACATCTGCTCTGGAAGATTCGAACGAGGTCATGGTGGAAACGACACTGAGTCTTGTTCAGCGGCACGATACAGACTTACCAGCAACAAACATACACGCGCCAACTGGACATACGTTGCAAACGGCAGATCCCTCATCGGCAACTGGGACCAACTAGGGACAACGGAGCTGAAACGACAAACACGCGGCCTTTTTTTTTTTCCGCCTGGCTGGTGGCTGTCCGGTCGTGGGCCACACGCTGCCTCCCTCGGCAGCCCATGTCCCCCGAGGCGCAGGAAGCTCGAGGCAGCGAGCTACCGCAAGGAGGCCGGACCAGCGCGCGACCCAGGCGTTGATGGCGGTCGGGTTGAAGTGGGCGGGGACGGCTTCGGCTCGCTGTCATGCCAAGCCCAGCACCACGGTGTGTCGGGAGAGCGTCCCGCCGGCGAGGGGGTGGTCGCCGAATGCATCCGAGCGTTGCCCGCAACCGGGCATGCCCGGTTCCCGCAGGATCATTTGGGCCAATGGAAATGGCAGCCTCAGGCCATGCAATGCCTGTTTTGAAACTTACTTGAAATTCGGGCATACCCGCGAACATTAAACAGTGTTGTCAGCGCCTCGCCTCACTTCCTCGACCGCGCACACAGTCGTGGCCCGGCCAAAGAGCACGCGTACATGCGCGTACTCGGAACTGCTGCGCTCACGCGGCTGCTGGCTGTTGATCAGGCTTGACCTTGACCTTGACCGTGGATCCCCCCCGGGGCCAAGACTGTGAAGTCCTCGCTGACGCTAGGTGGCAGGAGGAGGTCCTTGCTAGCCGCTTGCCCCCACACTAGCCGGCTGTGCGCACCTCGCAGTGCCATGCGTTGGTAGGTGATTGTTATGCCTAAGTCGACCGGACCCACGGCCTGCAGTTGCAAGAAGGCGCATGAAAAAATCACGCCGCTGTTGTCCCAGCCGGGCATTGCCGTGCTACTACCGCCACGGCATTCCGCATGCCCTCCGACTGCATGCGCGTCCTATTGCTCCGGCGGCTGCGCCTCCCATTGCCCCATGCGCGGACACGTTGTATGTCACTGTGGTGGGACCCTGGATGCATTAGGGGATCACATGGCCGCGTGCCCCACAGCGGGCGTGTTGGGCCCGCGCGGCGCGCCTCTGGAGCGAGCAGCTGCACGGGTAGCCACCAATGTTTTCCTTCGCCGCATAGAGGTGCTGGCGAACGGACTGCCGTCGGGCAAAGCGGCGGCGGACCGGAGTTGTTGGCCGCCACGACAGCTGCAGGATGCTGCAGGGGCCGGCTGACGCGGCGCCGTCACTGGCTTTGACGGATATGGTGCACATACTCACTGCGGTTTCCAGGCCCCGCCGTGGGATAGGCTCGCCCACGCCCCTCCCCAGCAGCACACCAGCCCCATAAAAATTGTTTTTCATATTTTTCCTTGGCATGGTCTCACTCGGGGCTGGCAACGCACTGCTTCCCTCGTCCTCGACACGGCATTCGCGGGTTCTCTGGCAGAGAGGCTGGACGTCCCTTCGCAAGCGGTGCTTGAATCCCAGTCCGATCCCTTCGCTGCCAAAGTTTTCACGGCCTTTGCCTACGAGGTGCAGCTCGACCCAGCTCTCTTCCGAGTGCTGCTGCTGTCTCGGCGCTGCTTGGATGCTTTTGGCGACCACCCTGCCTGTTGCCCACG